CACAAATTATCGACACATACACATATATTGCCCATAAGTAGTGACAAATTATCAACACATACACATATAAGTAGTGACAAATTATCAACACATACATATATAAGTAGCGACAAAATTTATCAACAAATACACATATAACTAGTGACAAATTATCAACACATACACATATAAGTAGTGACAAATTATCAACACATACATATATAAGTAGCGATAAATTATCAACACATACACATATAAGTAGTGACAAATTATCAACACATACACATATAAGTAGTGACAAATTATGAACACATACACATATAAGAAACGACAAATTATCAACACATACACATATAAGTAGCGACAAATTATCAACATATACACATAAAAGTAGTGACAAATTATCAACACATACACATATAAGTAGATACAAATTATCAACACATACATATATAAGTAGCAACAAATTATCAACACATACACATATAAGTAGTGACAAATTATCAACACATACATATATAAGAAACAAAAAATTATCAACACATACACATATAAGTATTGACAAATAACCAACACATACACATATATTGCACAAATATACTTATACATATATTTGATAAAATACGGCATATCTTTCCATCAAATACTGCAGACATCCATTACAGAAATACTAGTTTAGATAATACTAGCATTTTTTGCTTGCTTTATGTAACCATGAAGTATGTTGCCAAATTCATTTCAGGCTTTAAAAGTACCTTACTTTTTGCAATACCCACTTACCTTACTGTGTCAGGTATGTGTGGGTGTACATTATGTAAAACATCAATAATGATGTGTTTCTTATAAATAAATATATATAAATACAAATATTTTTCACAGGAGCACTTTATTTCTGCAGCTTTCTATTAAACTAAAGTAAATATACTTGCATTTACAGTTTACTGTTATATTAGTGCACTTTATATATAATAAACAAAAGATTGACAAATATTTGGAGTCATTCCCCTTTAAATGACAACATTGTTAAGGTACCCCTCCATCATAAACATAATAAACTTTTTTATACATTTCACACTTTCGTAAAACTGTCGAGGAATATAATGTTAAGGACTTTAATAGGTCAGTAGGGACAATGGTTGCTGGTATAAATTAACCTTTAATTTAACCTGCTGGAAGCAAATGTGCCAACAGAAGTTTTGCTCTTGAAATATGGACTGTTCCAATTCAAAAGCTGGGCACAGGTGGCAGTATCAGTGTTTGGACACCCCACCCTGCCCCTGGACTCCTACTACAACCTTGAAAAAAAAATTCAACACTCTAAAGCTTACTTTAAGGTACCAAATACAAAACCATCGATAAAATCATAAAAAAAAAATCCACTATCAAATTTATAGTTATAGAAAGGTTGTAGTAGGGGTCCAGGGGCAGGGTGGGGTGGTGTGTCCAAACACTGATACTGCCACCCTCTGGTCATATGTGGAGAAATTGGTAATTACTGGTTAGTTACCTAGGAAAAACATATCAGGGAGATAGTTGCTACCTTATAAAAATGTTAATTTAATCAGCATAAAGAAACAAAAACATCTCCATGTTCATTCCAACCTCTTGCAAAAAAAATTGAATTAATGAGACAATGCTAATTTAAATTAGTTGGTAATCTATTGCAATAATTATTGCTGTCATTTTGTGTGGATTATATAATCATATGGGATTAATGCTGTATATTTAAGGTTAAGATAACTATTAAAATCTTTAGAGAACTAATTGTCATAATGTTAGAATTATATAAAATTATTTTTATATTGATGTAAAAATAAATTGCTAGTACTGCAGCGCCAATTCCCCCAAAAGGGCCAGTTGGCCTCTTAAATTGTCATTTCAAAAGTATTCTTAATAAGTGACAGTAATTAAACTTTTCAAAAGTGATAATAATTAATACTGTTACCTCAGTAACAGTGTAAGCATTACAATTTTGCCTCAAAAATAAACAAGATTTACAGTCTCAAAGATTCAGATTTAAAATTGGGAAAATTTGGGTACTCATTGAATGTTTTGCACTCAATTGTTTATTCAGATTATAGCAAGAGAAAAATCTTTGAAGCTTATGAATAACAATTGCATTGCACTGAATGTGGCATCCCTGTGTTTTGGCTATAAAATTTTTGAGGTGCTAAATTAAGTGTGATGCACTCACGTCGCACTGAATTCCGCTTTTTAAAACATATAATTGCAGTTGGAAAATTTCATTAATACAGTATTTTGCAGTTAATAAGTGAAATGTTATGTTAGAATCATTTTAAATTGTAGCGTCAAAACCATCTGAAAGAATATCATGGCACACCCCTGTTTTAAGTAATGCAGGACTATATTAATGTTCTTTGATTAAAAAGGCCACATTTAGCCTTTAATATGCAATAATTTGTATTTTAGAAAAAAAGCTCCCCTTAACAGTCCTGTTACAGTTTCCAAAACAATACTCATTTACCAATAACCCGTAAAATTGAGCTTTCTTTTGGGGCAATTTGGGCAAATAAGTTACAATTATAGTGGTTAGTATTTTATACAGAAGTCAAAATATTACTTTGTTAAACATTACACCTACCCTTTATCAGAAAAATGGTGTTTTCACATTCAGCACTAAACTTTCTTCAGGTGATGAAGCATTTCACATGTTCTTCATCTGTTATTACTGTTTCAAACACATGTTTGCCTTTCCCAAAGAAAGAAAAAAAATCTTCATTTCTGAGGCATAATGTGCCTTTAAAAAAAACTGTTCTTGCATAGAAAAATCTATTTTTGAACAATTTGAGTTGGTTTCATTGTTATAGGGCAAAAATCTGAGCTTGATAGCAAAGACTAAAGCAGCTGAAATAATTCCTACAAGTATGAATTTTATTACCATAAGTTTAAACCCAGATTCAAATATTACAGTTTGAGCCTTCCATAGTTCTTCTGTAATATTGTCAGTTCAAAACATCTAAAACATACATCCTTCAATATTATGCCATGATCGACTTTTATTTAAAAGAGCTGACCTCTAAGAGGTAAAAAAGCCTAAAAACCTAATTGGAAATTCTGTTACACAGATCAACTAAGGCACTTAAATCAGAAAAATATACAATTGTTATTTTATGGAAATATACTCAGAATTAAATTGAAAGTTTTTTCTGTGCAAATCTTAGCCTGATTTGAATTAAAAGTGTTTGAGCCCTTTTCAAAATGGCAAAAAAATGAGTTAGCAAATGATGTGCCATTTTGTACACAATTTATTGGTCAACAGCTATGTCAAATGGGGCACAAATCTTGAAAAATAAATCATGTCCTTACATGCTATAAAACCTCTTCAAAGTCCCTTTAAAATTTGTGTTATTTAACTATTACATTCTTGCCTTGCTTTATTTTAAATATGGCAGTTTGAGTCTTCCATAGTTTTCTTGCGGTAAACCAACACAATCAGGAGATATCATTTGTAAGAATATTGTTCTGTAGAATTTCGAATCATGTTGTAATTGTACAGTAGAAATCACTTCTTCCTAATTGTTTTGCGCTTTTTTACAGCAATTACTGACATGTTTTGGCACAGTGTTTCATTGATGCCAACAATAATTCCGAAGACTTATTACTGTTATTTTTCCATTTCAAACAAAAAATATGCTTAGCAGTCTTTGAGCAGTCTTTAAGTAAATACTTTATACCTTCGCAAAGATGAAAATTATCATAGTGTTAAAAAGTGATCAGATAGATTGTTTTTTACTCTTTTTTTCCTGTGTTTTTATGAACTTGTCTGTGTTTTTATGTTCTTTTCGGTGTTTTTATGTAAAAAAGGCACAAAAAATAAATGCAACTCCTGTGAAAATTATGTGAGGAATGAGTAAAAGCATTCATTATATGCATTTAGAAAAAACATCAAGTTAGATTTGAATAATCCCCATGTGACGTTTGTTACATTTTCAAGTCTCTTTCTCAATGATCACCAAATAATTCCACTTCCATTTAGCATTCAATTCTTGACAATTACACTGTCATTATATTTTTTGCCACTATTCATAAATTTGTTCCTGGTTTAAATGTCATAACATTTTATTTGGATGTTTTGAATTTATTCCACTGTTATGAATTTTTTCTTTCAACTGTTATAAAAGCCATGTTTGTCAGTGTTCATGAATTTATTAAATTCAAAATTGTCCACTGTTATAAAGTTATGTTTTGTTAATGTTAATGACTTTATTCAGCTGTTATAAAAGTTATAATTTTTCAATTATTCATAAGTTTATACTACTGTTATTTAAGTCATGTTTTGTCAATGTTCATGAATTTATTTCAACTGTTATAACAGTTATGTTTTGTCAATATTCATGAATTTATTCCACTGTTTAAATAGCCATGTTTTGTCAATGTTCATGAATTTATTCCACTGTTATAAAAGTCATGTTTTGTCAATGTTCATGAATTTATTCCACTGTTATAAAAGTCATGTTTTGTCAATGTTCATGACTTTATTTCACTGTTATAAAAGTCATGTTTTGTGAATGTTCATGAATTTATTCCACTGTTATAAAAGTCATGTTTTGTGAATGTTCATGAATTTATTCACCTGTTATAAAAGTCATGTTTTGTCAATGTTCATGACTTTATTCCACTGTTATAAAAGTCATGTTTTGTCAATGTTCATGACTATTTCACTGTTATAAAAGTCATGTTTTGTCAATGTTTATGAATTTAGTCCACTGTTATAAAAGTCATGTTTTGTCAATGTTCATGACTTTATTTCACTGTTATAAAAGTCATGTTTTGTGAATGTTCATGAATTTATTCCACTGTTATAAAAGTCATGTTTTGTCAATGTTCATGAATTTATTCCACTGTTATAAAAGTCATGTTTTGTCAATGTTCATGACTTTATTCCACTGTTATAAAAGTCATGTTTTGTCAATGTTCATGACTATTTCACTGTTATAAAAGTCATGTTTTGTGAATGTTCATGACTTTATTCACCTGTTATAAAAGTCATGTTTTGTCAATGTTTATGAATTTAGTCCACTGTTATAAAAGTCATGTTTTGTCAATGTTCATGAATTTATTGCACTGTTATAAAAGTCATGTTTTGTCAATGCTCATAAGTTTATATCAATAATAACATTGTTTGTCAATGATAATTCATGTGATTAATTAATGGACATTTATACTCTGGCAAGGAATTACTTAAGTGTTCCTTTATTTAAAAGTGAGAAAGATTGTGTTTTCTATTGCTAAAAGAGGAGCATTGATGTGATTAATCTATAGTTAAGTCAGAAACATTGGTGTATCTAAAGGTAAGTCAGAAACATTGGTGAATATTATAAGAGATAAGATGAGGAAAATTTTTATATTACCGTAATTTATCTTTGGTTTATTTTGAATCTTTGTTAATATTAGTTCAATATGAACCATTAATTTTAGTTGGATCATTTATCTGTTCAAGGTCAGTTTAATTGGACATCTGCAATATTGTTTTGCATTTTTAAGCCAAATAATATTTGTTAAAGGGAGGTAATTATATTGCATTTATAATACAATCAATTTAAAATCATATAAAAAATGAATAGTTATGATAAATGAATTTCAAAAGGATCTGAGACACACAAAAAAGTATATTATTGTAATATAGTTTTCATAGCACTTAATAATTATTTCAATGAAAATGAAAAATACCTTTGATATTTTTTTATATGTTTATTGTCAAAACAGACAAGACAAATAAAAAATGATATAATAATGAGCAGATTTTATAATGTGGGGCCTTTAATTAATCCTGAACCTGCTAAAATAATGATAATTATTGAAATATTAATGCCACCAGTAGAGCTGTCATTGATTCAGTGCAATTTGCATATCATCAATATATATCAATATCAGATGACAAATATCAACGATACACTGATATCTCAATAATTACCTAAAATATTCACTTTCATTGCTGTTTAAATGATTTCTGAGTTAAAAAAAACATTGTTCTTTTCAGTGTCTTGTTAATAAAAGCCCATTGCAAGACTTTTTTCAAGACAATTCTGTTTTTGTCATGATTGCTGTGAAAATTATTTCCCCTGTGTAACAACAACATAATGTTAGATATGGACACCTGCTTCTGTATATGTTTTGGGTGAAATTTTCATTCAATTTCTAGAAATTTAATTAATTAGTCAAAATTATTGATCTTTTGAATTGTGTATCAATTATTGATCAACAGAAAAATATCAATGATACATCGATACTGTTTCTATGGATGACAGCTCTAGCCACCAGTATAGAGCCAGCCCAGACAAAACCTCTGTAACCTGACATTAGGCTCAACACTGTTGGTTGATATCCCCCCCAAAAAAATTGGCAAACATTGATATTGGACAGTTCCAAAAAAAAAAAAGGTTACTTGACAGGTCCAGTTAAAAAATTCAGCAGGTTAAGGGTTAAAAATGCTGATAAAAGTTTATTTTTTTATAGCCAGAATGATTTTTTCGATTTTCGCAATTATCGGGGAAAGATGAAATCTTAAAAAATATGGTATGATAATATTTTGGTGTTCTTTTCTAAAGTTCAATGCTTTAACACTTAATTAGTCAAGTCTACTGTTTTATGCCATTGTGACTAAATTCTCCTTTAATTTGTTTGGTGCAAAATAAGTACACGCGTACAGTAAGAGGAAAGGACCGATTCCTCGCATTAATTAACCAATTACAATGCTGAAATCTTAATTTAGCAATGGACTTTTCCAAATTTAAAGCCTTTGGCACCAATATAGAGCCTTCGACTACAAATGGACTGTTCAAAATTAAAGTTTATTATTAAAATTCAGCACTGTACAGGTTAATCATTTTGCAAAACGTAGGTTTCTTCGATCACTAAAAATGTGACATAACAGCTGTTTAAACTGTGACATTTTTGTGACAGTGACCCCACAATGTTTAAAAGGAGAAATCTTATTTTATCTACCTGTTTACTAAAATTATTGGCAGTGAAATTGGAAAAAAAAAATCTGTTTGCCTATTGGCTAATGATGATATTTGATACATGTATATTTAAATGATTACATACAAATCTTACCCATCAATCATTTATTTTATCAAAATTGGACTTCATTTAAATTTCCATCAGTATTTTCAATGTAGTCCTCGTTGGCAAATATCACATGTTGTTGATCGAACATATATTCCTCATTTGTCCGCGGTGAAAACCCATCGCTCTCCACCCGGTTGATATATGTCGGGTTTTCAACAGTATTATTAAAGTCTTCATGATAATCGATCGGTGCTGGATATGGTGAATCATCGGGTGGTATATTTGAACAAGGATTAATCTGATTGGTTAAATCCAATATTTCTACACTAACATTTGAATTGGTAACACGATTATGCACATTTTGGTTGGATGAATTTTGTACTACACACATTTCTTGATGCTCTCGGATGATATCCACAAGGTTTGTGCGTCTGTTATCGGAATTATTTCTCGAAGGACTAGGGGCTAATGTATCGGAATCTGTTGCACTTGTTCTATGCCTGGCATTTGAATGATCTACGTTTCGTTGGCGATGCATCATGTTCTGGATTATGTTGTCGAAGTCATGCTTATCACAATATACATATTTGGATAAAATGTTCAAATTGCGGTCAAAGAGAATGTATAGGATTGGTTGAATGGCGCCATGTGACCAAGCGATGAAAGCAAATGCTTGATAGACTTTTGGTGGCACTTTAAAATTTTTGTCTATGATAATGAGTAGGAAGAAGGGGTACCAGCATAGGATAAATACGGCGGTGTTGAGAATGAATATTTTGGCACGATGTGTAGCATCCCGAATGATTTTACGAAGGCGACATGCTGAGCTTGTTGCTGTGTCCAACACAGTGATTGAAGTGCGTACAAGAAAGGAAACTCGGTTTGGTCGGTTAATTTGAATTTCCTTGTACAGTCTATGAATGAAATGGAAGACCGCTATCATGGCAACTGTTGTTATAACAGCCCACATCACATTTGCTACATATCCCGTCTGCTTACCAAAGGTGAATGAACAACTTCCAATTTCCGGTTGAAATTCAAAATGGCCGCCTATAAGTGTTGGACCCAGATGTAGAATGATACTACCTATATAAACTAACACTACTCCGAATGTAACACAAATAACGGTTCCTTTGGAATTGCCGCCAATATTTTTCTCACCAAATGTATACGCTTCGGTACACACCATGGCGACCATGTTGAACACTGAAATGGTTATTAATATCACAAAGGTAGCTCCGAAGAAATTACAGTCAGTGGGTCGGGACTGACTAAGGAGATTGGTAGCTATAGGAATGCAATAAGCAGATTTGGTAAAATCCAAAAAACATGCGTGTATCATGAATCCGCTCGTCATTTTTCGTAGTGGTTTTCGGACAAATATTGCTCCAACTACGAAAATATTCAGGAGCATGCCAGTTATGGCAATGAAGTATAAATAATATGCTTCAGAGTGTTCATTTGATTCCGGGGGCATCACATCGTGTTTCTGGTCATGTGACACAGTGATTTCGGTCCGTGGTTCAGCCACTTGATAGTAGTCATGTAGGTTTTGCTCAAGTTCTCGGGAAACGACCTTATTCACTTTAGAGGTGTTGTACACGTAGTAAGTAGACATTTTTTGCCATGGCACCATGGGGATATAATCTGTTCATTGTGGTTGTTCTTTTCGTTGGCTGATAATTTTCCCGTCTGCAAATATACAAAAAAAGAAGATTAAATGCTTTTTGTTTTTAAAGATTAGAAAATTATTTTAATACAGTTTCTAATATACACTGACTACATACATGTACAATACTAATGAGGTGAGGTGATAATATGATGTTTTCCTATAAAAACCTTGATTACAGCATGTGTGGTAGAATTCTTTTGAAGTGGGTGCATTAATTAGGGGAAATATGGTACTTGTATATATATTTGACCACTGTATAGAAAATTAAAAAATTTTTGCAATGTATTAATTTGTTTTTTCTATTATCACATTTAAAAGAAATCATAATTCTAATTCTTTAAGAATTGATTTAATAGGTGTTTGTAATTTTACATATTGTAATTCATTTTTCTTACAAATTAACCTTTTTAGGGTCAAAGAATTGATTGCATTGAAAAATGACTATCAAATTACAGATTTCTTTTTTGAGGGAAAAGAAGAAACAATACTATACATTGTATTGTTTTAACTTTTTGTATTTATTGTCAATGAATTGATTATTTAATGATTGTACAACTGTAATTATTTTCTATTGTTTATAAATTGTCTAGTTTTCAGGTATTTGGTTTCATTTCATTTTAAAGTCATGTGTTCAAAAATTTGTGTACTACAATGTATATCAGTACACTTTTTTCTGCCTTAATTCTTTATTAAGGTTGCTTATTCTTCGTACTGAAGTTCGATATTATTAATTTCATTGTGTTTATTACAAATACACTGGAAAATCATTTCATTAAAGAAATATTTTTAATTTTTTTTTTTAAGATTTTTAAAATTTTTGAAGTTTTTTGGTCATTACATTAAATTTTATGCATTTAATTTTAATATGGGTGGAGTTAACTCGCGAGAAACTGACAAAAACATTCCTAATGGAGATACAAAACGCAATTATCGAGAGGTTGAGACACTTATAATGTGTCCGATGTGTTTGGACAAATTTACCGATCCACGGATGTTAAAATGTCAACATACGTTCTGCTTCGATTGTCTTAAAAATCAAGTGCAAGCTGCAGAAGACAGCAAGTCGGGCGATATAATATGTCCGGCCCCAAATTGTAAACAATGGATCGTTTCTACGAAGTCACTTCTCTCAACTTCGGTTGATAAGTGGGATTCCTATTTCCCCAAAAACATTACGATTTCTAAAATTCTGGAACACTTGCCAGATGACGAGGAGTACTGTGATTCTCATAGCGATAAACTGTATGAATATTTCTGCGAGACGGAAAAAAAAACTGTGTTGCAGTACTTGTGTTATAGAATATCACAAAAAATGTGACAGAGTATGTCAAGTGAGCGAATTTACTAACAACGGGAATAAATTTGCCGCAGTTTGTAAAAATCTTCTCGGAGAACTGAAAAAATCACGCGGTCAAACAAACACCATGCTGAATCAACTGAATAACAATGTCCGAAAATTGGAGCAGACAAGAGATTCAATTTTCAAAGAGCTTGAAGAGTTTAAAAGGGAGATAATTGCAGTAATTGAAACCAATCAAGAGGCAATTAAAAGTGAAGTGGATATGATCCTTGAAACAAAGTATGAAGAGCTGGAAGCTGTTAAAAAACTTGAGAAGAAGTTTACTGAATATACAGAAAAACTGACAAACCATAAGGAACTTAAGCCGCTGTGGAAATTAAAGACATTGTTTATCATCGATAAATTCTCAGCCGAAGAATTTCAAAGTATGAAAACAGCCCAGAGCAAAATAAAAACAATACACATTGAATTTATGGTTGATAAACATAAAGAAATGATTGTTCAAAAACAGCTGAGCAATTGTGTTAACCATTTGTTAGTGGTTGAACGCCCAATTTATTAACATTTGTAGAAATACTTTATGTAGATTTTTGTACTTTTTTGCAGAAGTAGGGATGTAATTCTTTTCCTTCTATCTGAGATAGTCTGAAAGAGCATCGGATTTATTCAAAGTGTTGGTTTTGGATATTGTATTCTGTATTGCTTTTAAGGTGCGGCAAGGGGTGATGAAAATTGCACCAAACTATAATATTGTCTCCAATTTATTAAATATTTTGGAAGCAATAAATTCCTGATGCCAATAAAATGAATAATCATCATGGAAAGAGCTAATATTATTTGTAAATGATATAAGTACTGGGAAAGAGGGGGCTGTGGGTACTGGGGTGGTTGTGTGTCCGAGTGGGTGGTCAAGATTTTTTAATGGTGGGGGGGGGGTGTGTTGACAGGAAGTTACAAAATATGTTACACAGGTATTCAAAAATGCATGTTAAATCAATATATATTTTTTTAATCATGTACGGTATGTTCCAGAGCATTTGATAAGCAAAATATCTTGAAAAAATAAATGTGTGTGTGGGGGGGGGGGGGATGTTATCTGAGATGTTAGTTACTATCTCAGGTATGCTAGAATCTTTTTTTAAACTAATTTATCAGCCAGGATGGACATATTTTATACATGTTTTATCAAATTTATGCAGAGTAAATGATGATAGATAGAGAATTTTTTTGTTAGATTACCTGATTTTAATTCCACACGCTACTTTGAGTTAAAGTTTATTAGCTCTAAATCAGTTTTGGATTCTGATAAAATATGTTTTTATCGCTCTTTATGTTGTTGTTAAGCAATACATGACTCGGTTTATGTAACAAATGATCAAATTTTCACATCGGAGTGCAATTCCTATAAAATCATATAACCAACTGAACCCATTTAAACGTATATAAACTTGACACCTCTTTACTTAATTGTTCTAGAACAAAATATTATTATTCATGAGCATCATAAAAATGTTCATACTAAATCACCTATAACTTAAACAACATTTTTTTTTCAAGAAATATTTTATAAGAATATCCAAATGATACATTTATATTGTTCTTAATATCAATATTTGAAATATTACAGGAAAATGTGCCCATTGTGGACCTTAAAATTAATGTATGTATGTATTTGAGGCTTAAAATGAGGGTCCATCTGTCCTTTTAGGGAGAAGGGACCCTGGACATGTCATCATTCATGTCCTTAAATTTTATTATCAACCAAAAGCTGACCTATAAATATTGAATTCAGTAAAGTAATTCACTAAATGATACTAAATATGTATTCAAGTTGCTTTTTGTGATGATACTATTTTGATACACTGGAGGCCAATGAGACCATTATATGCATCATGGAGAAAAATAAATGGGACCTTAAATGGGAAACACTGTTCGGGAAAAGTCAAATGTACCATAAAATTCATATTAGGGAATGGGTGTTTAATAGAAATTTTACGGTATATAATATTTCATGAATGATTTTCTATGCTAAATTCCAATTTGTACTAAAAGTTCTGGAAAGGGGAGATCCCTCGGGAGCAATGAGAAGAAAAACTTTTTGTTGAAAAACATAAAATCAGAATAATTAATAGTGCAATACTTCACACTTAAGTGTCAGTTTTTAAATTCTTTTATTTGATTTTGTCTGCATTTCAAATGACTATATATATGACACTCTTGGATATCAAACTGATTAAATGCTGGTTACATTTAATGGACTGGAAATCTGTATATTTCCTGGTGTTTGTTGTCAGTTTTGCAATAATGTTGTCAGAGTTATCTTTTCTTGTTTGTAATATGGTAGTCAATTTTATACAAAGTTTTTCAGAGTATCTTTTCTTGTATGTAATAAGTTTTGTAGTCAGTTTAACTTAAGCTTTGTCAGAGTTATCTTTTCTTGACTGTAACTTGCTAGAGTTACCTTTCCTTGTCTGTAATAAATTTGGAGTCATTTTTACCACAGCTTTGTCAGAGTTATCTTTCCTTGTCTGTAATAAATTGGTAGTCAGTTTTATCATAACTTTGTTAGAGTTATCTTTTCTTGTCTGTAAAAATTGGTAGTCAGTTTTTACTATAACTTTGTCAGAGTTACCTTTCCTTGACTGTAATATGGTAGTTAGTTTATCATAACTAAAAATTGTCAGAGTTATCTTTCATTGTAATTTTTATCTCTTCCTTATCCTGACTGTTCATCACTAATTAGAATGCAGAATTTATCTTATCTCCCCCTGTTTTTTTTTCTAAGAATTTTATCACCAACTACACTGTTAACTAGTTATCATTACCATCCTATCTTACTATACTCTTTCAATAACTTTTTCTTTCCTTTTTGTTGTTTTTATTTCTTTGGGCCAATTTTCTCGGTTAATTATGTATTTTTCTTCAGTGGAGATGGCCTTTTTTCTCTCAATAAAATGCACTTCTTTATTTGAAGAGTAACATATGTTTTTTAAGCAATGATTTGCCCATTTCCATGAACCTTTTCAAGTTTATAGCTATTTTAATGAACCATTATGTTTCAACTTAAGCTACTGTGAATTCTGTAAATTATTATATTGTTTTAGAATAAATTTGAAAAATTTCATATATTCTCCGCCAGTAAAGTTTTTATCATCGTTTGATGTGCCTTTGAGTGGTTGGATTCTTAAAAAGTACAAATTTGATTGCCAAAAAGCATTAAAATTATTGAATAATAAAATTTTTATTCATGTGAATTGTTGCCGTAAGTACTGTTTACATTTTTGAAATGTTAAAAATAGTTCAAGTCACGTATACGGAAAATTCTTTTATCTTGATTTATTTATTAAATAAAATACTTTTGATGTATGGGTATTTTATATTATTGAAGAGTATTTGTGTATTAGCTTAATAACATGAAATAAGCAAAAGAAAATTTGACGATTATTAATTTAACCCTCAGCATTTGGGCTACAACTGATTATAGTTCCATGCAACCAGTGCAGTTCCAAGATTGTTCAACACATCTGTTCTCAGCCTAGCCTGATCATGGTCTGCACTGTTCGCTTTTCAGTCAGTAGATATTTTGAAATTTTTTCTAATAATGCATGATGAATGGTTTTGTCCAAAATTCTGGGTGGAAAGGTTATACTGATGTTAAATTGCAACATTTTGGCATTATATTTAATTATTGCTTGATACCTGTATTATATAAACTTCAAA